CAAAAATTTACATGGATAATGATATTAGTACAAAAAGTACACCCAAAATTCAAAAAAAAGAAAAGATTATAAACTAAAGCAATATTTGAAAGAACCTATATTTAAATGACAGTACACGATCCACACATGGATCAGTGAATAAAAAATTCAAATTCTTTTGAGTTTTCCGGCAAATTTTAAATGCAAGCTTATTATGATATTATATCTATGGAACAAATACATATCTATGTGCTTGTATTTAGTGCGCGCGAGAAGTTCCTATTCTTCCCATGTTATTATAATATTGAGCACTCTTTTTTTAAGAATAATATTTCTTTGAGAATTTTCGCAATACAATTTATGGGGAAAAGGATTAATCCTTAATCCTTACATTGGCATAGTGCCACTAATACTTCCGTTACAATAACGGAGATAGATATTATAACCTGATTTCAACTAATACGATGGAGTAGTTGTTAAGACAGTCCTCCTAAATTTGATATAAAATTTCTTATTGGAGTGTTCCTTGCTCAAGAACAACCTCATATTTCCAAGTTAAAAGGCCACCAAGTGCACTTGATACAAACTGGGATTCATGGTATAAACGTATGAGGAGCTACATAAACAGTAAGGTAAAATGGGAGTCTCACTTCTTATTACTTTCAAATTGTCATGTTTAACCATTGATATTTTATGTCCCGGTTCTTACAATACAGAGCACTCCATAATTATCAGGCACACAAATTGACTTCAAACCAGATTAACACAGGTACTTTCTTTCATTTCTAAGTGCCCTAACTTTTAGAGCTGATCAACATATATCAACAACTAATGGTAAACATAAAAATCAAAAACTTCCTCTCTGTCTGGTCACTAATCATATACTCTCTGCAAAACAACAGACTTCCTAAATTCCATCACACAAAGTGCTTTGATTGAACTATAATTTGATAACGTAATATACAGAGATTTTTTTAATGAAAAATAACCTATACGAAGATTTTAACATCTTGACCACCTTTCTACTATTATTTCATATTATTTGATTGAAATAAGATCAGTATTTTAAAAAAATATCCATTCATAAACTAAATTTTGATGACATAATGTAGTAAGAAGAAACAATGAGAAAATGAGGGCATGAAAGTGAATGTCGCTGTAGGGTGGAAAGAAAGAATATAAATTGTAGAAACAAAACTTAATTGTGGTAAATACTTACTTGTCACTGGCATATGAGAACTACATCAAACAATGTATCCTCAGCAGTTGTCCAATACCTTTAATATAAATACCAGAAGGAGGTTTCCATCAAAAGTTGAACTAACATAATAATGAAAGATAACAAAAAAAATTCTCTGGTATGAACTGGTCTTAGCTACTTTCTTTAGCAACAAGGGATATGTGAATGAGAGGCTCATTGTACAGACTAAAGTACATGGCTCCACTCCCCAAACCAATAGTTCTATTTAGTTTTATCTCAAGAAAGTATTTTGGCTACAAATTAAAAGTACGTAACTCCAAATAAGTAGCACTAAATAAAGAAGGCATATCATCAAACATCATAAGTGCATAATCCACTTCAAAATTTCAGTAATTAAGCAATGAAAAGATTATATAGGTGAAAGAAAAAATATATCATATAACTTCATATATGTATACATGTATTATGAAGAAGAAGTGTGGCGCAAATCAAGAGACCTAACCTTCCAGCATCAATTTTCATATGTCAGATTTTTGGTAGAACAGTTTAATTCTGTACTAAATTAGTTGGTATCTGTCTGCTACTTTGCTTAATTACCATCTTACTCTAGACTAAAACATCAAACCAGATTGGATTCTTTCATAAGTACACTCTTAGTTCCAACTCAACCAAAACCCTCTGGGGTTTCCTAGTTCTGGTGAAGTTCACATTTGTTCAAATGAAGCAGAGAAGACATCATGAATCAATTTCAATCTAATTTGACAATATTATTAAGTAAAGACAAAGAAGGGGAACAATCATAATAGATGAGCAAAATCATCAATATTCAGCTAATATATTTCTCCTTGTTTAAATTTGAAATTCCACCAAAAAGCGTTTGAGCATAGACAATTCATATATGTAAAGAACAAATTGGGAAATAAACACAAAAATCAGAAAAGAACTCAGCCAAGCAGTGTAACAGTAGATGAAGTCAATAGCTGGTGCAAAAATGATTCGCATCAGACAAAAAGTAGTGAAAAATAAGAAACAAAAAGAAGCGCAAAAACCAAATGCTCAGTAAAGTGCAATAAAAATTGACAAACAGTCCAATTGAGAACATAAAAAGAAGATCGAAAGAAAGATATAAACAAATTCAGAGGGAGGGGAAGAAACTAACCAGGAGCAGAGGCTAGGACGGAGAACAGAGCGGTTTGATCTGGTAGGTTGATCGAGCTCTACTTTTTGCTGTAAGTTCGAAGGTGTGGCCTTTGCATTAAAACACACGCAGCTATACAGTTAAGAGACAATGCCTGAATACGTGAAAAGTCAAAAATACCCTTGACTTCTAATTTATAGACAATAAGCACACAGGTCGAAACCTGTGGCATATAGATATAGAAATAGAAAAGTAATTAAGTACTCCTTTCGTTTAAATTTAATAGACAGCGAAAAATATATGCCAACTTTAGGCTTGCAAAGAGAAAATATGCATTATCGAAATTTGAAACAAACGTTAAAATTAGTTAATTAGAGATAGAGCGAATATAGTGAAAACAAAATCTTATTACCATAAAAACAGGTTAATGCGAATCAAGATAACGAGGGTGTTGAGAGTGGGAAAAAGCTATAATCAATTGCCATACCTGTAGCGAATATAATACATTTGAGTGATACTTGAAATTCTCACGGAAGATTTAGTTTTATCGTCCATGACAAAATTTTAATTATATGATCATGTTTACGAGACATCATCTGAAAATAACACAAGAGATGTATAAATGAAACACACAAAAAATTATAAAGCTGTTTTTTTCTATTTAAATTGCAAGATGGTATAAGAAATTATTTCCTATGAACCCACAAGCAGAGCTGAACATCAAAGAGAAATTTTCAGAAACCACTATGTTTTAGTGATTATTAGCTTGCTATAGCTACTATTTACTAAATTAATTCCTATAGCTATGTTTTCAGTTGTTATAGACTGTATTCGATGTATTTTTGCTACTGTATTCATGAATACAGTAGCAAAACTCGGCGGAAAACAGGGGAGTCCAGCTAAGCAGAGAATGTATTCGACTGTATTTGCGAGCTGTATTCGTGAATACAGTAATGTAATTTGCGGAAAAAAAGGTCTTTAACTGTTTAAAAACGGTAAGTGAATCAATTAACGCGATAGACTCCTAATATAACTCAACAAACTCAATTATAACACACAAAATTTGTATTTCAAGTTATAGAAAAGATTCTTAACCGAAAAATACCCCAAAAATAGAGCAATCTTCAGAGATTCAATCCATCTTTTCTTTTTTTAGTGGTATCTTTACTAAAATATTTTTAGTCATATCTTTACAAATAGATTTATATATTGAAATTATATAATTAATTGAATACAGTTAAATACATAAAAATACATTGAGTACATGAAGTATAGCAGGTCATCTATAGTGCAAAAACATATGAATACATACCGCAGGTACATTTGAATACATATATACATCTGAATACATAAATTATATTAATTAAAAAAATATATGAATACATTCATGGAATACAACGAGACAATGAAATACATGAAATTCAGCGAGATACATTGAAATACAATAAAAAAAATACAGTGAAATACAATAAAATACATTAAATACAGCGCGATACATTGAAATACAATGAAAAAAAAAGGCAACAGACTCCTCAAGTTCTTCAGCCCCAAACTCCGTCCCCAATCCACCGATATCCGGCCTTCATCTGTTGATTAGAATGAAAAAAAACTAATCACATATAGCCTTCATCATTTAATTAGAATGTACATTTATGGTCCTTCGGTTGATAAATTTTCATGATTTAACAGATGTCCAACTCAAATAAGGAGTATAAATGCTCAAATAAATTTAATCTTAACAGAAAAGATGATGGATCACATCAACGCTCAAAGCACCAAAATAATTGAGACCTTTACTTAGTAGGAAATCACAAAATATCAAAATCGTCACAAAAGAAAAGACAAATCCAGAAGGATACCCTTAAATAGATTATGAGCAGTAACTTCACAAGCAACTTTTTACTAAATAATTAATGGTGGAATGAATTTTCGTTGATGTAACTTGTCGTTACCGAAAGCAACTCCCAAAACTTTTTACTACAAGGAATTGAACTTGGTCAGAATTCCAACCAAAGAATAGGGCCACTAGGCCTTGTCCATACAAACCGCACCGACAACAACTCCCTAATATATTCTCAGTCATCTTATATATAACATCCAAAACTTTGTCTCTTTAACATTCAGTGAAACATAAAAACCTTCCACACTTGTGTATAACAGTAATTAATTATGGCTCGCCAAAGATTTGCTCGTCCAATATTTGATAATCCTTTTCTCAAGATTCAAGAATTACCAGGTGACACAGTAAAACGTAACTCTGAATCCCTTAAGCAAGCCAATTCTGATCCTAGAGGCACATCTCTAGTCATTTCCAGGGACGTGACCCTTGACACAGACAAAAAAACTTGGCTTCGACTTTACGTCCCACGACGAGTAACAAAAGCTTCTACTCCTAAGAAATTGCCCCTCATAGTCTACTATCACGGCGGAGGCTTTGTTTATTTCCATGCCAATACTTTTATCTTCGATGTGTTTTGTCAAGCACTTTCTGAAAGAGTTGGTGCTATGGTTATTTCACTCGAATATCGTCTTGCCCCTGAACACCGCCTTCCTGCAGCTTACGACGATGCCATGGATGGATTACATTGGATTAAGTCCACTAAGGATGAATGGGTCACCAATTACGCTGATTTGAGTCGGGTCTATCTTTATGGAACCAGCTCTGGAGGCAATTTAGCATATCATGCAGGTATATTTGATTAATGTCTATCTCTTTGTGAAAGCTAATAATGTATTTTTTCAAAACTTCTAAATTTACATAATCTCAAAATTTTCAATTTTGTAAGTTTGGCATTTTTACCCGTAGGATTACACTATTTTGATTTAATAGTTCGATAGGTCATTTCGAGTTCTAGGTCAATTCAACAAACTGATCATCCATGCAGGATTACGTGCGGCAGCTGCAGCTAAAGAACTAGAGCCCTTAAGAATCAAAGGATTGATTTTGCATCATCCATTTTTCAGTGGGAAAAACAGGACAGAATCAGAGGAGAAGCTAAAAGATGATCAGCTTTTGCCGCTCCATGCAATTGACAAGATGTTCGACTTGTGTTTGCCAAAAGAGGTGGATCATGATCATGAATATTGCAATCCATGTGCAAATGGAGGGTCAAAGAATTTAGATGATATGAAGGAATTAGGTTGGAAGGTTTTGGTAACTGGTGTATGTGAAGATCCTCTGGTTGATGCTGCACGTAACTGTGTCAAGTTAATGGAAGAGAAAGGTATAAAAGTTTACAAGTTTTTTAGAGATGGTTATCATGCTATGGAAGTCTTCGACCAATCAATGGCAGCAGCTTTATATGATGCCACCAGGGATTTCTTAAATGCTAGTAAAAATTAATAATATAGTACGTACTTATCATTGTCTATGTCGTGTTTGTTTCATTTCATTCTCATGCAGGTAAAATTTAGTTTTGTGCAAATAAGAGAAGAGCAGGGTACTCTATAGTGTATGAGATTACTTTAGTTGTTTCTGTTTTTCTATGAAAATAAGTTTCTCTGGTTTTTATTTTCTTTTTGGAGAGGGCAGGGGAGAAGCAAAAACTTCCATAGCGAGTACAATATTTACAGTTGTGGAGTACAATAATTACAGTTGTACTTGAAACAGATATTACTCCTATTTGAGTTTGTAGAAAAAACGTTTGGCGTAGTGGAAATTATGTTCGCATTGAACTTCACTTGACAAAAGGATTCTGAAATTTAAAATTTTGTGAGAGAGAATTGAAGATTGAAAAGTTATGCATACACATTCAACAATATATATTAGTATTCATTATAATAATTTTACTTGAAGTTCAAAAAATATTTCTGTTGAACTCAAAAGTTTCACGACTAAACTAGTCTTGGTAATAAGTATTTCATATTCGCAAATAAGTACTAGAATAATTCATCATGGCTAAACGGGTCCTATGATATTTCTGTTATGTTGAGGAAGAGGCAAACCCGAAAATAAAGAAGATAAAGAACACCAAATTTTAACGTGGAAAACCCTTCAAATCGAAGGTAAAAACCACGGGATCATAAAGATCCAAAAAGCTCCACTATAACAATAAGAGGGTTACAAAAGTTCTCCAAATTGGCTACACAACAAGTGTCAAACACGGAGCAACAATAGCAACAAGAGCAACAACTAATCAATTGAAGAAACAATAATTACAGTTGTACTTGAAACAAATATTACTCCTATTTGAGTTTGTGGAAAGGTTTGGCGTAGTAGAAATTTGGGTCCGCCTTTGGCTGTAGTATCAACTTACCTACCTTAATTATGGTGGCTGCTTTTGTGGCTCGTTCACATGAAAAGCACTATTCTTTAGCAGCAATAATATTGGTAACAAGTTTTTTCAATACTAATGAATAAGCTTGTGTGGATGAAGAAAGAACAAAAATGAACATAAGTATGTTCCTTCTCGTGATATATAGAGATCTTAGTCAAATTCCAATAAGCTGCATCAACTAATGCTCATGCTCATTAGTCATTGTTGTCTTAGTACCAAAAAACACATTCACAATGACAAGGAAGTACAGAGTTCAAAGACCGAACTTCCGCAACTATTTGATTTTGGTGACCAAGAAAAATATCATTCTTCGTACCTTTCGTTTATAAAGTCAAAAAGAAATAGAAATTTTACTCTTTCTACAACATGAAAAAGTTCTCATTTTGTTAAAATGAGAGAAAATACTTTTTCTACATCTTGAAAAGAAAATACTCACTTTGTTAAAATGACATAATATACTTTTTACTACATCATTTTATTGGAAGGCTCAAGATCGCTATCTACTTCAGGATATTCAATATATCGAGAAGCTCTACAAACATGGCAATATTCATCACTTTTATGATCATTCCAAAATTGCATGCAATCATGGGACATGCATCAATTTTCTTATAATCCAGACCTAGATTCTTTACAAAAGACTTGGCATAGTTGCAGGATAAAGGAATGTTCAATTCGGGCATCGCCTCTTTCAATAAATCTAAGAGGGAAGTAAAGGACTCATTGCTCCATCCATATAGACATTTCAATAAATATAGACGGATCGTGAATGATAATTTAGAGAATCCTTTACAATCAGGATATAATTCTTGGCTCGCCTCATCAACTAAGTTATAGAATTTTTTTGGCATCTTCATTTTAGCATTCATAAACTCCTTGTGCAACATCTCTAAATTGATTATTCAACAACCCATCAATATCATCATACGAATTATCTTCATCCATATCATCATCAACATCCATTGGGATTTCTCATTCCCCATGATTAATCCATCTTGTATAACCTTTAACAAAATCGTAGCATATTAAATGATCATATACTACATTCCTTTGACACCAAGAGATGTTACAACACTTTGCACACGGGCAATGAATTTCTTTGCCCTGAGGATCTCCATCAGAATAAACAAAGTCCAAAAAACGTTGAACACCATCAATATACTCTTTGCTATACCTTGGTAAATCCATCCAAGCCTTGGAAGGATCATTTGAAAACCTAAAATCAATGGTGATATTAGATATCAAAATATAGATTTATTTAAGTATTAAATATACTTAACAAAAATATACCCTAAAAATCACGAGTAATTTTTTAAAATCGATTCTTGTATAGTAATAGGCTAATAGCATAATAAAAAATAAAGAGAATAAGAATCTCTTACCTAGTCATGACACTTATCTTAGGTCAAACCCAACTTCAAGTTCACCACAAGTAATCTAGCAGAGACTTTAAAATTATCAAAAGCTATACATATAAAAATTATCAAGTTATCTATATTAAAACATAGCTTCACTCTATTGAAATATTCAAGATAATATTAGCAGAAAAACCATAGGGTTGGATAGAAACGTATCAGATATTACTTAACTAACCTTGTAAAGTGTGTTTCTCTGTTTTGCGCTCTTAAATAAAATTTACCAATGTGTGTCTCTTCTTGAAGAAGATGAAATTGCAGAACCAATAACCTAAATTTAAGATGAAAACAAAATATCACTGAACATTGTATCAAAGAACCAAGATGACAACTTAGAAAAAAAATTAATTGACAAAAACATTTTAAAACTTAGCAAATAAAAAATAACAACAACAACAACAACCCAGTATATACTTCAACACTAGTGGAGGGTGCTCATTAGTGTGCCGAAATACAGAAAACGCAGAAATACTATGTAGAAACATAAAAATACTGCAGAAACGTTATGCAGAAATGCTAAAACGCTGAAGAAATACAGAACTACTGTGCAAAAATGCAGAAACTCAAGAAACGCAGCACAGAAATGCAGAAATACTATGCAGAGAATGCTGAAATGCTGTGCAGAAACGCAGAAATTGCCGAAACTCTATGCGAAAATGCACAACACTGTGCAGAAATCCAAAAATAATGTGCAGAAATGCAGAAAACACAGAAAAACTGTGCAGAAACGCAGAAATTGCCTAAATGATGTGCAGAAATGCTGAAACGCTGTGCAAAAATGCTGAAACGCTGTGCAGAAATGCAGAAAAGCTGTGTAGAGTCGCAGAAACACTGTGCAGAATTTTCTGCTTTCTGCACAGTATTCTGCATATCAATATTAAAGATACATTTTCAGTAAAGGGATAGGTTGCGAGAGCAGTAGTCGACTTTGACATCAATGATTTCAGTAAAAAGTAAACGAGTTTGGTACCAAAGAATAAGAAAGGCTCCCATGGGTGCAAGGACTGATATTCTGTCATTTTTTTGTGATTGATCTAACAACTGAAAATGCCGTCTTTCATTTTGATTAAAGGTTAAATGAGGAAGTTAAAGTTATTTTTGAGGTGTACGCGAGTTGGTCTAGACATACAAAGAAAGATGTTAAAGATACATTTTCGGATAATTAAGCATCTAGTTGTATATTAGCTTCTGAAACCATATAAAGATTTAGTACATCTTTATAACCACTACTGAAAGGCAAACTTTATATGCCAAACCACTTTTGGTCCCACGGACAATCTCATTCAGTTTTCTTGAGGTTATAAATGGAATTAAGTCATTAACTCATCAACAATCAAAATCAGCTTCATGATTTAAAAATCTGCAACAACTATGCATATCTGCATCAATCTACAAACGGACGAGCACAGCAGAGACATCAAATACACATTCCATTTGTCAGCACCGCGACATATTATAATGATATTTTATGTAATTCTGCATTACCATATTAAGAGTTTCCATTGGGAGTTAATATACTAGAAACATGACAACTATAAAGCTTTGATTGCAGAGTCGGAAGGGCCAAACAGAATGAAGGCGACAAGCTAACGAGACTATGGTCTTGCAAATCCAACTATAAAGCATCTCCTTAAAAATCAACAATAAGAGAACAAAGGTTACAACTTGAAACAGGAACTCCGTTTCATGATCTTCACTAGTCAATTCTTGCCTTACAATATTAAAAGAATATGCATCTTTTTACTTTTCGAGGAGAAAGCGGAATGCAGACAGTAGAAAGAAGCTTATGGTCGGAGCATCAAAAAAATTGAATAAGCTAGAAGTTAACATTTCAATTAGGAATAACGTTCTTTTAGACTATAAGAATGGATAAAAAGATCGACTCCTAAAGAATACAGTTCATTAACATGAATCATAGTTCTAGAGGACATGCAAGTAAGAAAAGGCTTACCAATCAGAAGCTAGATTACTGTTGCTGCCAATTGGACAATTCAATTATCGTTGACTTTACCTGTGGCCAAGAAATAACAAATAAGCATGTATTGAGGAAAGAAATGATGACAATGACCTGAACAACCAAGACAAAATGCAGTTAATATTCCATACATTTAGAAGCATTACACATGCACCAAGGCCACTCATAACTGAGGATATTTAATTGGAAAACTCGGTTAATTATAGTGTAAGAGAATCTCAATTTGTCAAGCATAAGAAGTAGGGCAATCCGGTGCACTAAGCTCTCGCTATGCGCGGGAAGGGCCGGACCACAAGGGTCTATCGTCAATTTTAAATCACATTTTAAAAACATTTTTTATTCTTTTTAAAGTACAACAGTAGCACTAGAGCTCTCATAATTGATCTCATTTATTGACTTTCACAATTCATTTATGCCCCTGATTCTTGTCTCATGATAATTTCTTTATTTTTGTCTCTTTTCTTTTTTGGGTAATTTTCTAACTTCACAAGTATCATCACGACATCGATATATCAGATAAATCCAGAATCCAGACTATGCCAATACTCTATGTTGAGGTTTAAATACTAGGTATTCAGGTGGACAAATTTAGTAAAAGTTGAACAAATTGTAAAAGATATTTTCAAAGGTCAAGGATTATTTGCTGCCACATACTCGTTTTAGTGACCTATTTGTTTGCTTAGGCATAGGTAAAAGTTTTAAAGAAAAATGACATAAACTTGTCATAACTAATCTGGGCCGTAAACCAGACGCAATATCCACATTTATAGAGAAGAAAGAACAAGACTACAAAGTAATGCTTGCTCGTCTTCTTGACTTTTCATAGCTTTCTGGTGGTTTCATTTTCACCTTTTTGGACAATGTAGAAGAAAAAGGCTTTTGGGGAGCTTTTCTCTTCCATTTAACTATCTAACTTATTTTGGCAAAATGATAAGTACAGGAAGAAAAAGTCACTTGATTGAAAAGGAAAGAGGCCGGCCAGTCTTATAGCCTGTTTGGCCAAAAATT